TTGGAAAAAATCCACCACAGCCAGTCTTATATTATTTAGAGAAGGAAGCGGTTGAATCTACAAGACATTTAATGGGACGTAATCCTTGTAGACCATTCAAAATGGAAGAATTGCAAATCGTAGATATGGAAAATTTAGAGACCCCCCAGATGAATTCATCCAAAAATATCATTATCAAACTGTTAACCATGTGTCTTCAAACCCAATGTATCCTCGTAATACACCATTATCAATTGGGACAGTCTTGGAGATAGCCGTTCTTGGTTAAAGCTTCTCTTATAAAAGATTCAATATCTGCAAAATATGGTATTTTGATGAGGCATATACCTTCTTGCTTACATATATCCCGCTTTTTTTGATCACATTTCCTTTGCTCGCTCAAATCTTGTCCACTTTTATGAAACATTGGATTAAAAGCATAGTGATGCTGACCATTAAATTCGAAGGCCAGTTTTAATTCCTCATTGTATCCATTGAAGTGCATCCCTTGTAAAAATTTCGGTGCACAGGTGGAAACTTTTTTCCTAACAGATCTTCAAATATATACCTTGATGTATGTTCTCCTTTCGAATGAGGACATAGGGGGCACCAGTCATATCTCTTTGTAATAACTTCAATTGGTCTCTCCCATAAGTGATTTCTATTGCATGAAAATAAGAAAGTTGTAGGACCAGTTTGGATGTGAACTTTTCCTCTGCGTTTTTCAGCGTAAGTTTGAGCTTCGGTAAGTTTCATCATGTTTATACTTATGTATATATATTTAGGAAAAAAATCACGTGCGCGTTTAGAAAAAACACCGATCACTCTGCCAAGAATAAAAAATTTCAAAGATATAGTTAAACTAGTATCAGAATGAAATATCATTATATATACCACGTCGACAAAATCAAGCCACCGAGAATATCTTTAGACAATATAGATGCTCCTAAGTGGCCCTTTTATATTGTGGTGAGTGGGAGATCAAACACTGGTAAGACTAATATGCTTCTAAACCTTTTTCTTGGGGATAAGTACTATGATCTGAAAGAAGGAAAAAAGAGAATTGGTGAACGACACATATGTTGTAATGATCTTATATTAGTGGGACACTATATTAACGAGCCCAAATATCAATTAGTTCGGAACTTCTATAAGAAAATAGCAGATCGTTCAAAACCATATTATGAAGATGTTACTTTTACTGCACTTACGCCTGATAAAATTCCAGATCTGAAGCAGTTTAAAAATCCAAAAAGACGCACAGTGGTTATAATCGAGGATTTATGCACCGAACCACAGTCAATCCAGGATCGAATTATTCCATTTTTTAATAGAGGGCGTCATAGTAATATTTCCGCAATTTATATTTCGCATAAATTCACTCAAGTACCAAAAATTATTCATGAAAATGCAACTCATCTTGCGTTGTTTAATGGCGGGGGGTCCATAGAAGATATTGCACAGATTATAAGACAATACATAGAGGAAGATCCACGTAAAGCCTCCAGAGTCATTAATAATTATTTGCGGAATGGTGAATTTATTGTCTTCGATACTAATGTACCAATTTCCAATCCTATGTCCATCAGAGTCGGATGGATGAGTCCTCTAGATCTGAAAAAAGAGATCAAATCATTAACAGCGTAATAAAGAAAATAAATTATGAGATTTTTTAATGAAACTAACTCCACTAAGCTTGGATAACTTATCTTTATCCTCTGCAATTGTAACTTTTTTTCTTCGATTTCATATAAAAAGATGTCCAAGTTTAATCAAATAATAATATTTCTCCTGCTATTTTTTTATATATAGAATATAGTATATAGTATATATCTTACTCGCCACTCTGCAGAGATGCACGTATCCAGCCGGTGTTGAAATTGAGGTAGATATATTTCAGATAAAATGCACTCCGTGTATCCACATTCTATCTAATATGGGGATTTTTGTGTTGTATGAAATGAGTTTGTATGAAAAAATATACCATCAAAGCTCGTAAACTGGGGTATTTAACAAAGTTAACAATAAAAAAAAAAGATGCCATTATCTCAGAAATGGCGATAAATAAAATTGTAGTAACATATTATATTCTAACGATATCCGGATATGTGAGATTTGCATAATATTCTGGATTCTGTGTCCATTCCAGAATTTCATGCCAATTTCCATAAATAACTACTCTGTAGCCTTGTTGACGTAATAATTCTATAACATAGTTTCACAATCTCTCGTATAATTGATTTTTCTTGGAACCTATCCAATCATATGGAATATAATATTCTTCATATTTTCTATCAAGAAAGAGACGAATCATATCAGAATTACATTTCCTATACATTTCAATTTGCTCAGCTTTCCACAGATTGAATTGATCTCGGGTTTGTGCATTTTTCACTTTATGTCGGGTTAAACCTAAAAATTTCTTATCATTGGAGATGTTATCATTTCTAATTCCATTCCAAACTTTGGATGCTAAGGATTCAGGTCTCTTCTTGAAATTTCTCCAAGCTTGTTGTATAATCCTTGCATGCCCAAAATTGGTTTTAGGTCTAGAACACTCGTTATCCCAATGTTTCTGCATCAAATCATCTGGCTCAATAATTTCAATATACCTTTTTCTAGTGAAATGGAATGATTTCCTTGGTTTTACATTATCAATATGAATAAGTTTCATACAATCTAGACATATCGCTACATTGGATTTATGGATTCTAGGCCTGTAGTAATCATGATCTACAAATTTACCCTTACCGAATCCTAGGAATAGAGCATATACATGGTAGATGCTTCTTTTCCCCTCAGAGACCAGCTCTTGTAAAGGAACTTTGACCCGAATAGCCCATTGTTGTGGAGTTTCATTGGGTCGAATAACTGATAAAGTATCATATCGTCTTTCAGTCTCATAAAGATCATCAAAATATCATTGGTAATCATTAATTCCACAATAATTGTAGATATATGACTTTACATATTTCATATCATATCCAGGATGATTATTAATGAGCTTCACTGATTTAGCTTTTTTATCAATAATAATAGAAATAGTAATACTTGACATAATTGGTGATTTAGACCTATTAGATTTGGTTCTTTATAGTATAAGAATATATGATTCAATTTTAGTGAGATTGGATTGTTAGACCATTTCTTAGATCTAGATAAGAACGCTTGAAATAATAGAGAGATGTTTACAATCGTGATATTCTATGAAATGAAAATGGGTATTAACGATCCTGTAAATAAAACATATTTTTTAATTGTTACTCGATGGATGAAACATACTCGTGATTCAAAAATAATTCTATTAAGGGGTTAATGGTACTAGCGTCCTCTTCTGTTATTGGATTTCGCTTTCTAGAAATAAGATGTTTCCAAGCTTCATTTTCTAGTGAAGGAGGTAGTTTCCCGATTAATTCTGAATATGCTTGATTGAATTTTGTCAGCATGTTGTGGCTAATGTAATTATATTTAACGTATAGAAAAATGAAAGAATCTTTATAAAAAATATGAAAATTATCCAAAACCGGAGTTTAAATATCAGTTGCAGGACATTGCGGATCTACAGGGGGTCAAGTGTCACTCTCTAATAAAAATTTTTTGATCAACACGGAATTTTATATGAAAAAATGAAGAAAAAATCACGCTTTCATACACAAACTTGCCTGATTTAATCAAATTGTTACTTGAATCATAAAAAATAACAAATATATGAAAAAACCTTTATTTTGATGTATTTTTTGCCAGGGTAAACAAATACCACTAAGCGATAATCTTAACATGAAGTTGGACTACCAGTTCTATAAAGTTCTATAATAATAATAAATGCAATAGTTAAGTTCTAATTTCCAACCTTTAAATGTTTATTTTTTTAAATTACATAATTTGTTTATAGAAAAGTATTAACTTCAAATTTGCTTTTTAAAGATTATTTTCATAATAATACACTCACCTGCCAAAAGTATCCGGATACTTTTGGCAGGTGAGTGTAATAAACATTTTACCTAATAATATTAATATATTAATATACATTACTGGTTGAAATAGAAGATTGCATTTATTTAATATTTTCAAACAAAACAAATTTGTGTAACAGACTCTTTTCGAGAATGGCTATGTTTTTTAATATTTTAAAGATTAGTTTCATACTATTACTAATTTTTATTTCATCCATTTTATATATATATTTAGAAGTGTAATGATTAAATTAAAAGGTATTTATTTATTAATACATTAGCAGGATCTGATGGAGATGTAATATGTAGGTTAAAAGAAAATTTTATTAATGATTATTGATGGTTTTATTTATACATTTATATATTAATGTAAATAAATATGTAAAATTTGAGTTAAAATCATATCAATTGACCAGAAGATGACAATTATTTCAAGATTACAAGCACTGATGTTACTGCTATTATTAAATGGTATATGTGATTATATTAATATATTTATTTCTTTTTCCAAAGGTTGCAAAAGTTGAATGATCTGACAATCTGACAGTATACAATCCATTATGCAATCATTTTTTTATTATTATTAATTATTTATTTTTAGAAAATAGAAATTATTTGTATTTGGTATATTATTATTCAATTTAATGAATTTAATTATCAGATCATTTGGAATAAATTAACAAAATATATTTATATTGGGCAAGTTATAATGATGATAATAATATTTTTTTATTACCAACTTGTATCCATGGCATTATGATTATTGCCACTACCACCATCATTCCCACCACTACCACCACCATTACTATCACTACCACCACCATCATTACCACCACTACCACTATCATTACCATCACTACCACCACAACCCTTTAGGGCTTTGTTCCAAAATATTCAAACCTTGCTTGATGTACTATGTCAAAGTCTATCATTAATAAATAAATTTCTTCATATTCATAATTATCAAACAATAAATTAACTACTACTACTATTATTATTATTTTAAAATTCTAAATAAATTAATAAATAACCTTATAAATAACTATAAATCAATCCCTTATAATTAAAAACAAAGTTTTTCTAACACAACCTTCCAAGTGGTTATAAGCGACTTTGTAGGGAACATTTTGGCACAATTGTTGCTGCTGAATTCACTTTAGTCTGCATACTAGTTGAGTGATAATCTTAAAATAAGTGTGAAAAAAAGAAACACTTTGACCTGGTGTAGAATAACCAATATTTAAGCTAGCCTTTTCTTTTAACTGTTGTTAGAAAGTTCTAGTCTGATTCTAAAATTTTTATTATGGTTAAAAATCGCTTGCTACATGAAAATGGAGAAATTTTTTTTTGAAGTGGATGATAATAATTTTATTCATGTAACGTTTATATTGAATGACATTTGATCTGCAATGTCCCGCGACTAAACAGGAGAGAACGTCCTATATAAGGAATGGATTTTCACAATTGATTTCAATTTTTTTTATACAGTTTAAAATACTT